AAGTGATGAAGCGACTGGGGTCTTTGGGCCCAGAGAGAGAAAGAGACAGTGGGCCGAAAACTGGGGGTGGGGGTTGGGGTGGAGGGGAAAGTGTAGGGAGCAGGTTTCTAGGATATACCCTTTGGGTGGTTGATGATGCATGGAGTGGACTGGAACCATGGCAGTGAGATGATATACGATGGAATGAATGTAAAACTAAAGTTCTCCCGTGTAAACTATCATACTATTATATAATTCACAATAAAACATTAAAAAAAAAAAAAAGAAAGTTGGGGAGGTGTGAAGAAGGAAGTTCAATGCTCTCCCATGCAAAGTAGGTAAGCAACAAAACCAAAAGATGGTTGGCATTTACTCACACCAGCAGCAAGCTGACTGGCCATTGTGGACTGTTCTGAGTCTTTCCTTAGAACTGTGAAGATCCCATTGTTTTTGTTGTTGTCCATACTACTCCAATAAATTCCCTTTAAGTTAGTCAGAGTCCTCTCTCATTTAATCCTTCTATTATAGATTAAATTGTGTCTCTGTGAATACTTAATATTATCCTTCTAGTGATTACTTAATATGGCCCTTCTATCATAATTTTTGTAATTCACACCAAACAAGTGGGTGTTGTTGTTGTTAAGTGCTGTCAAGTCGGTTCCAACTCATAGCGACCCTGTCTAGGATTTCCCAGGAGCAGCTGGTAGATATGAACTGCCAACCTTGAGGTTCAAACTGACCTTGCGGTCCAATGCTTTATCTAACAGCACCATACCAGGACTCTAATAAAGGGTGGTGGTGGTGTGCAGTTGAGTAAGTGCCAACTCCTAAAGATTCAAGACTGTAATCTTTCTAGAGCAGAAAGCCTCATCTTTCTCCTACAGAGCAACTAGTAGATTCGAAGTACTGAGCTTATAGTTAGCAGCCCAACTCATAACCCACTATACTAACAGGGCTCCTTAATCTTGAGTATTGTCTGAATTCTGTGTGGCCATTGCAATGATTTGTTGAAACCAGCAGGAGAGTGGAGAATGTGATTGGAGAGAAGGTTGGTGTCAGAATTGGTAGAGGTTGGAGGTTAATCTTCCCCCTCTGCCTCACAGGAATCAGCCTGAGGCTACTAATCTTGAACTTCCTCCCCTCTTGTGAAGTTATAGGAGGTCAGATGCCTCTACCTCATCATTCTTATGTTGTTGTTGTTATGTGCTATGGAGTAGTTCTGACTCATAGCGACCCTACAGGGTTTCTGAGGCTGTAAATCTTTACGGGAGCAGAAAGCCTCATCTTTCTCCTGCAGAACTGCTTTTAGTTTCAAACTGCTGACCATGAGATTAGCAGCCTGATTCGTAACCACTCACTACTAGAGCACCTTTATCATTCTTATAGTCTCCTAAAAATATATGTTGGAAATCCTAACCTCTTTACCTGTGGATGTTATCCTATTTTCAAGCAGGGCTTTCTTTGTTACAAAGGCCATTATCAGTGCAGGGTACGTTTTACGCCAATCACCTTTGAGCTATAAAGGGAGCAGAAGAGGCACAGACACATAGGGGAAGACAGATGCAACACCACACAAAGGTCCTCTAGAGAGACAATGCTCTTCCCCCACAGTGGATAGAGAGAGCCTTTCCAGAGAGCTAAGTGCTCTGGATTTAGACATCTAGAATTCTAAATTATGAGAAAATAAATGATCTTTTCTTTAAAGCCACTACTTATGGTATTTTCATTATAAAGGCACTACAACACATTCTTTTCATTTCAACTATCATTATCTTAAATAAAAAAAATTTATTACCACTCACTTAGGTTTCTTATTCACTCATTAAACAAAGTCACTAGGGATGTTCTTCTAAAGCACAGGCCAGATTATATTTGTCTCCACTGAAACAACTTCTCTGTCTCCTCCATAAATTCCATTATCTGATTTTCTACCTTTCTTTCTAATCTTATTTCTAGCTATACTCTCTTCTTTAAAATTTCGGGTTCTTTCAATTAAATCTTATTAAAAATTTGATTTTATGTGATACCTGGGATTTTCTTCAAAATAATATGGGAATGGGTATTGGATGGCCATGGATTAATAGCTGTTAAGGATGTAGATTAGAGTTCTGGTGTAGTGCTAGGGGATAAAGCACTGGACCACAAGGTAGTTTGAACCACAAGGTCAGTGGCTCAAACCCACCAGCCACTCCTTGGAAACCCTATACAGGGTGGCTATAGGTTGGAACCCACTCAACAGCACATAACAATAACAACAACAACAACAACAAGGATGTAGACTGGAGTCCTGGAACGGTACTGCAGGATAAAGCACTGAATGACAAGGTCGATTTGAATCACGAGGTTCAATTTCACCAGCCACTCCTTGGAAGACCTATTGGGTCACTCTGAGTTGGAAGTGACTCAACAGAACTTAACAATAACAAGGAAGTAGACTGTGGGTATACAAAACACCCCCTGCTGTCGAGTCTAATTCCAACTCGGAGTGACCCTATAGGACAGAGTGGAACTGCCCTTAGAGTTTTCAAGGCTATAAATCTTTATGGAAGCAAACTGTCACATCTTTTTCCCATAGAGCAGCTGGTGGGTTTGAACTGCCAAAGTTGAACACTTAAACAATCAGGGCTCCTCAGATTATGGGTATATGGGGTTCAATGTGATACTGTGTCTACTCCTGTGTATATTCAAAATTCTCTACACAAAAAATTCTCTTTATCTTTTCTCTTATTCAAAAATAATTTATAATAAATACTGTTTTGGTCCTGAAAATAGACAATAGAGAAATATAAGTTCAAATTCTTGTGATGTAAAAAAAAAAAAAAAAATCCAAAAAGAAACTGACATAAAAGATAGAAAGAAACGAAACAACCAAAAAGCATAATCACCAGTATAAAAGATGGCATGAATAAAATCAAATCTAGCAGTACCACAGAAAATGTGAATGAGTTCAATAAAAAGGGAAAACCCTAGAGTTATGAAATAAAAGTTGTATTTGGCCATACACTTTAAATAAAATGTACAGTACATAAGACAAATCCAAATTATTTCTTTTGGGCAATAAAATCTACAAGGCAGCTACATTATTTATCTGGCCCTTCTAGCCAAATTTCTCTATTTTGTGATGGATTATAAACCCTAGCCTCTATATAGAGCCTGTGTTTATGGCTCCATTTTGAAATAAGTTACAAAAGAGTAAAGATAAGGACTCTTGGTGTGGCACTGTAGGATAAGCACTGGATTGCAAACCACAAAGTTGGCAGTTCAAACCCACCAGCAGCTCCTTGGAGATCCTATACAGGGTTGCTGTGTGTCAGAACCAATTCAAGGCACTTAACAACAGGGAGAAAAGACTACAGTGGAACTAAGGATTAAGGAATTATTAGAAGGTGTGACTCCAGTCACTATCCTCAGTTTCCTTTGGGGGCATGTCATACTCTAGTCTTATAAGACTTCTTTGGAGAAGCTGAATTTCTTGCCATGGATCTTGTATCTGCCTCATTATGTCTGATTTCCCGTTCATGGGACTCTCATCCCATCACCTGAGCTGATTCACCAGTGCCCACAACCTTGTACAGCCTATTGTCTGATCTGCCTATTTGAATTCCTCAGCTCCTGAGTCTACATGGGTGAGAAGATTCTTCCAGACTGATCTCTGAACTATGGATTTGGGACTTGGCAGCCTCCACAAATTGCGTGAGCCATTCCTTTGCTCAACTGTGAATTTTGTGAGATGTTGCAGTGTGTTTCAAAACTCTGGGACTTGAAGGAAGGGAGGAGTAGTGATTGATATCAAGGATAATGGAGTGGTATGTTGTTTTTGTTGTTAAGTGCTGTGGAGTCGGTTTCGACCCATAGCGACCCTGAATAGGGTTTCCGAGGCTGTAAATCTTTACGGGAGCAGATCGCCTCGTCTTTCTCCCGCGGAGTGGTATAGCATGTTGGAAAAGTTGAACAGTTGGGGCATCTTTAACCTCCCATTCATAGGGAACAGCCTTGTGCTTATTTTTCCAAAAGAAAGTATTCATGCAAAATCCCATCTTTACAAACACATATATTCCTACCTGAAATGTTTCCCACTCAGAGCTTCAAGGCCTTCTGTTAAAGCACAGTGCAGGCTGGTCTGGGCCCCCTGCTGAGGGGTCTTCAGAAAGCAAGAGAAAAGTTGCCACATCCATGTCATGAAAAGCGAGTATCGAGTTAATTCCGAGTTGACTGTGCCAGGGTGTACAGAATATGTTGTAACGCCGGAGCCTGGGGGGGTGGGGAGGTGTCAGGTAGAGTGAAGAAAACAGGACTTGATGTTGCTGACCAAAGTGAATAGAAAACACCAACATGTGATCCCCACATGTGAACTTCCTGCTCATGGTAACATCAATACCCCCATTTTTAAGATCAGGAAGTTATGGCTCTGAGAAATTAAGGAAGCAGAAAAGCCAGGACTTGACCTCTCAAGAGCACTTGACATTGTTGATCGTCCCTTCTCAAAGTTTTCTTTTGCATCTCTGGTACCCCTCTCCTCTTCTGATTTTCCTCACATTTATAGCTGCTAAGTCTCAGTTTCTTAGACTAGTTCATCATACCCAAACATTAAATGTTGAGAGTGGTCATGGCCCACTAAACTCCCTCTTTATACCTTCACATTTGTATTTATACCCTAAATTGCTCCTTTAATTCTAGACTATGAGAGGTAGCATAGTGTGATGGCTACGGGCATAGGCTTTGTAGTCAATTCAACCATTTTCAAATGCTGGCTCTGTCACTCATTAGAAGGCCAACTCCCTCCCTTCTACACTTGCTGGCCTTAACCTGCTCATGAGGTCTGAGTTAATTATGAAAATCATATGTGAAGCAGTCTAGTTTTACATTCAAGAAAATACATCTTTAAAGTTATGGAATTTGCTATAACTCACACAGTAAGTAGCCTTCAGACTCAGTCTGCATCTCCCCCATCTCCTGAACTCCACTTTCAATCTTCAGATACTAAGAATAGACCAGCTGTAATCATAGAAGCAGGCCCTGCCTAGTCACTGGGCTTCAGAAGACTTTTCTAACCCTTTGTCTTTTAACTACTCCCAATGATTCATATTTCCACATTCATTTCTTCTAAACCCACCTTTTAGTCTCCGAGCCAGTTCCTGGGTAAAGAGAATGTTGGCCAACTTGCTGTGACAGTAAGCCAGACCTGCATTGTAGAATTTCTCGCCTTGCAAGTTATGGAAGTGGATCCTTCCCAGGAAATGTGCTACAGAAGACACATTCACCACCCTTGATGGGGCTGATTCTTTCAATTTCTCTAGCAGCAAGTGTGTCAGGAGGAAATGACCTGTGGGGGATGGGAGTGAGGGCAGAGAACATTAGAGTTTACAGAGTTCAGGGCCAGTGTGCAAGGAGTCGGGGGAAGAGCAGGGCCATACTGTTATTCACACAAGGTCAACTATGACCTTAAGAGCCAATCACATCACACAAAGAAGGCTCAACCAGACACTTAGGTTTTCTAAGGAGAACTTCAGGTTTCCTGTAGCTTTAAGATGAAATCAGATTTCTTACCTAAGTGGTTAACTCCCATGTGCATCTCGAAGTCATCTGCTGTCTTGGAGTAAGGACACATCATCACTCCTGCATTGTTGATCAAGATGTGAAGCTGCTTCTCCTCTGCAGGTTAGGTAAGATGGAGTGTGGAAGCAGTCAACTATGCTCAACAATGGCTATTATAGCTTGGACAACCTCCCTATGCTCAGAAAATAGGGATGCGGGATACTTCAATCTTTCCTCCAAAGTATTTATATTTTGTATTGTTTTTCATCTTTAGATTTTGGTTTATGCACTTTTACAAATTCTATGTGCTTTTACTATAGGGCAAAATTCCACTTTACACAGCTAAATGACCTTTTCAAATCTTTCTAATGTGGAAACTGCTGCCACTGCTGTTGTGTGTCCTCAAATCAATTCCTCTCATAGAGACCCTGCATAAGGTTTCCAAGGCTGTAAATCTTTATGGGAGCAGAAAGCCTCATCTTTCTCCCATGGAGCAGCTGGTGGACTCGAACTGCTGATCTTGCAGTTAGCAGCCCAATGCATAACCCACTATGCTGCCAGGGGTCCTGCTAGTCACGTGATGAGGAAGACTGCCTTGCAAATCATGGTGGAAGATGATGGTACTCTTAGAAATAGATTTACTCACAAGACAAAAAGGTACAAAAAGGAGAGACAACAAAGGTATGAAAACAAAGATGGCAATACACATAAAAAATGATGTGCTAATTCAAAGGATACAAAAAGCTTTCTAAGTTAAAAAAAAAAAAAAAGTAGGGTACACAATACATAAGACTGAAAGATTTAACCATACAAAATTTCCTCTAAATATACAATTAGAAAAGAACTAAATAAAAGACAACAAACTGCGCAGTAAATTCCCAAAGTAGATAGAATGTAATCAAAACAAAAATTAAAAGCAAAAGTCTTGAACAACTTGCAATAAACTAGGTGGCTAAGACACAAATATAGTTACCCTCACTAATAATGAAATGACTCCAAAGTAAAGCACCCATATATAACAATGATTATTTTTTTCATTTGACTCAAGCTGAGAGACTAATGAAAGTGTTTGTCTCCTGAGTGCAGTTGTAAGATACTATCTGTCTCCATTAAATTCTCTTCACTTCTACATCCAGAAGGTTTCCTTTAGTTGAGTTCAGCTATGTATCCAAAGTTTGTGGTTATATTTTACTCAGCATTTCTATGTATTAGAGAGGAGGAAGTATCTTTTCCTTTTATCAATCTGCCCTGTCAACCACAAGACTCACCTCACAGTCTCCAGTTACACACTTACCTGCTAAGAAGCCCTGAGCAAAGGCTCGAATAGATGTCGTATCAGCAAGGTCCAGTTTTCGCACCAATACCTGCTGGTTCCCTGTCTTGGTCTGGATTTCTTTGGCTACCAATTCCCCCTTTTGCACATCTCGGCAAGCTAAATACACCCGGGCTCCTGTCAATCCAACACAATGGAGACAAACTGTTAGCTCTATTTTTGAGTGGGCAAAACATCAGTGTTCAATGTTCTGTTATTTTCTTTTAAAAAAAACACATGAATTTTTATCTCTACTTCAAAAAGTGAGTATCTGATGAGTGGCAAATTAGGAAAGGAAAATACATTTTTATAATATAATATTTATAAAGTATCTACTGTATATACATGAACGCTGTTATGTTCAGACCAGATCAGTGAGGCGCTTGGAGTGTTCTTGAATTGCCAGTCTGGGCGAAAAGGATGAGAACGACCACCACCGTAATGGGGAAATGGCAGTATTGATTCTGATTTACGGTGACCCCATGTCTCAAAGTTGGACTGTATTCCACAAACATTTTAAGACTGACCTTCAGAAGCAGATCATCAGGCCTTCCAAGATGCCGGTGGGTAGGTTCAAGCTACAACTGTTTGGTTAGTGGTTGAGCACTTAACCATGAGCACCACCCAGGGACCCAAAAATGGCCGCAGCAGGAAGGAACTAGAAGCAGATGAACTTGCCTCTCTGAGCCAGGTCTTTGGCTGTTTCCTTCCCAATGCCTGTGTTAGCTCCCGTGATCACAGCTACCTTCCCAGGAAGCTGGACGGTTGATGTACACACTCCACTGGACAGCATTTTCCTAAAGAGGGGAGAGTTCATCAGTTCTTCATGCCTCTCCCATCAATCAGGAGTTCCTATAACACCCTATAATTTCAAATTCCAAGAAGGCAGTGGTGTCACTGATGCTAGTGTTACCTAGCCATAGAGAATCCTTAGTAATGTTATAATTATTCAATGTTGCTGGCATGCCTACCCTGTATAGAGTTTCCAAGGAGCAGCTGGTGGGTTTGAAATGCCACCTCGCAGTTACCAGTGCTTATCCTATTGCACCGTGCCAGGACTCCATTCATTGAATAATACGTAATAAACATAGCAGTAAATGGCTAATATAAAATTTCTTACATTATATGAATACTGTTTTGTAAAATCTGTCTACACTGAATTATATTATTAGTTACAGCATTATTAGTAACTGAGCAGAAGTCCTTTTTTTTTTCTCCTTTTCCGTTAATTACTACTACATTCTCAAGAATTATTGATATAGATTTACAAAGACTAATTACCACACTATTACAGCTAACACACCAGAAAAATGGACAAATTCAGTGGCTAATAATAACACCATCAGCAACAACAACAACAGTGTATATTTATAGCAAGTACAGAGGAAACTACAAATTTCGAAGCATCATTTTAATTGGGTAATGACAATAGTTCTGACGAAGCACACGAGAAAAGTTCAAAAAGTAAATTAGCATAGAGTTTTAGCCTTGTAGTTGTATTGATACATATAAGTTGTTGTTGTTGTTGCTATGTGCTGTGGAGTCAGTTCCGACTCATAGTGACCCTGCACATGGTTTCCAAGGCTGTGAATCTTTACAGGAGCAGAAAGCCGCATCTTTCTCCTGCGGAACAGCTGGTAGTTTCAAACTGCTGACCTTGCAGTTCACAGCCCGATTCATAACCATTATGCTACCGGAGGTTCTTAGGCCCACAAAAAAAAAAGTTTTTGTTGCTATAACTAACTACAATAGCGTTTTAGCCTTGTAACTATATTGACACCTAGAAGTTGGACTTACAAAAAATATAAAAGTTCTGCTGAAACACTGCACAAAAATGTTATAGTCATTTTGTGTTATCCCCTCTGGCTGGGTGAGATACACTTTGGTTTTTTCACTGCTGTTGTTTTATAGGTTTAAGGAAGACTGGAGGAAAGAAGAGGAAAGTTTGTGGCTCTTGCTCAATAACAGAAGTGATTCTATAAAGGACAAACCTTGAGTTTCTCTCTGTCATACTAAAACTGCTTGGATATTTAATTAGCCAAGTACCTGACTAAGTACCTACTTGAGCTCCCATAAGGCACATAGGGAGTCCTGGTATAGTGCTGTAAGATAAGCACTGGACTGTTAACCAGAAGGTTGGAAGTTCAAACCTGCCACCCATGCCTCAGAAAGTCAAGTCACAAAAGTGACTTGACTGCACTTAACAATAACAAGGCACATTTGACTTAGGTAACCACAAGACTCAATCCAGAAGAAACGATACATACCAATCTGCCCACAATTGGCATTTTATGGCCTTCAGAAACAGTTAATTGAATAATTCTTTTAAAAAATAAAATTATGAAAGTTGACTTCAAAGGGGAGCTGACATTCAAGTTCTAGTTCAAGTTCAGAATCATTATTGTCTTTGAGAATGACTGATGCAGGGGCATGTATTAGCGTTCCTCAGTTTATCTTCTCTTCTCTGCTATCTTGGGACACAGGTTAAAAGAATATGGTGACCAGGCGTATTAGTTACCTAGTGCTGCTAGTGGATGGCTTTAACAAACAGAAATGTTCCTATTAAGTGTAGGAGGTTAGATGTCTGATTTCAGAGCACTGTCTTGCAGGGAAGGCTAGGGCTCTATATATTGGTTCTGGAGGACAGTCAATAAGGACATCATCTTCTCAGTCATGTTCCCAGGCAGGCCTCTCTGGACTTCAGCCCCTCAGCCTGGCCTCTTTCCTGCTCAGGATAGTGTAACAAAGCTCTTTAGATCTGCTGATAAGTGCCCAGAAGCATCCAACTCTGCCAGGAAGTCTCCTACATGAAGTCACTTACTCTGTGGGTCAACTCCTGAACCAGGGTCTCATGGTTCTGCTCTTCCGATACCTCTACTGCTGCTTCTCACCCTCTTTGCTATCTGGGAACAGTTATCCTCATTTCCTCAGAGCCCTCACCAGAAGTACCTCTGACAGCCATAATTTTACCAACAGTCTCTTCAAGGCAATCTAAGTTTTCATTATTGTTGTTGTTTGGTTCCAACTCATAGTGACCCTCTGCACAACAGAACCAAACACTGCCTGTCCTGCACCATTCTCAAAATTGTTATGTTTGAGCCCACTGTTGCTGCCAGTGTGTCAATCAATCTTGTTGGAGGTCTTCCTCTTTTTCTCTGGCTCTTCATTTTACCAAGCATCACATCCTGGTACCTCCTGATTACACCTCCAAAGAATGAAAGGCAAAGTCTTGCCATCTTGACTTCTCACTAGCACCCTGGTTGCACTTCTTCCAACACAAATTCATATGTTCTTCTGGTAGTCCATGACAACAGCATGATTCAAATGCATCAATTCTTCTCCAGTCTTCTTTATTCATTGCACAACTTTGACATGCATAAAAGGTGATTTGGGTCAGAGCCACCTTAGTCCTCAAACCGACAACTTCACTCTTGAATACTTTTTGCAACAGATTTGCCTAATGCAGTATGTCCTTTGATTTCTTGACTACTGCTTCCATGAGCATTGATTGTTGATTCAAGCAAATTAAAGTCTCTGACATCTTCAATGTTTTATCCATTTATCATGTTATTAGTCCAGTTGTGAGGATTTTCGTTTTCTTTACAGGAAGTGTAACCCATACCGAAGGCCACTGTCTTTGATATTTATCAGTATTATTTCAAATCCTTTGTGCTTTCACTAAGCAAAGTTATGTCATCTGTATATCACAGGCTGTTGATGAGTTTTCCTCAAGTCCTGATGCCACATTCTTCTTCATATAATCCAGCTTCTCAGATTATTTCCTTGGCATACAGATTGAAAATGCACAGTGAAAGTATGCAACCCTGGCACATACCTTTCCTGATTTTAAACCATTCAGGATCCCCTTGCCTTTTTAATGACCGCCTTTGTTCTATGTACAGGTTTATCATGAGCACAATTAAGTGTTCTAGAATAGTCATTCTTCACAATGTTATACATAGTTTGTTATGACCCACAGTCTAATGTCTTTGCATAATCAATAAAGCACAAGTAAACATCTTTCTGCAATTCTGCTTTCACACAATATGAGGTCAGCAATGATATTCCTAGTTCCATATCCTCTTCTGAATCCACCTTGAATTTCTATTAGCTCCCTGTTGATGTACTGCTACAACTGTTTTAAAATTATCGTCGTCAAAATTTTACTTACATGTGATATTAATGATACTGCTAAATGATTTCCACATTCTTTTGGATCATCTGTCTTTGAAAATGGGCACAAATATGGATCTTTTCCAATAGGCTGACCAGGTAGTTGTCTTCCAAATGTACTTGCACAGGTAAGTGCTGCATCAGTTGTTGAAGTATTTCAGTTTGTTTTCCATGAATTCCTGGAGTCTTGGTTTTTGCTAGTGCCTTCAGTGCTACTTGGACTGCTTCCTTCAATATCATCAGTTCTTGATCACATGATACCTCTTGAAATGACTGAACATAGACCAATTATTTTTGGTACAGTGACTCTATGTATTCTTTCCACCTTTCTTTAATACTTACAGAGTCATTCAATTATTTTGTACATGTTATTGTTGTGAGTGCTGTTGAGTCAGTTTTGATTCATAAAGACCCATATAGGGTTTCTGAGGAGTGGTTGGTAGGTTTGAATCACAGAACTTGTGAGCAGTCCAGGGCCAGTGCTTATCCTACATGCCACAACAGGACATTTCCTTCCATATTGCAACTGAGGCTTGAATTTTGTCTTCAGTTCTTTCAGCTTGAGAAATGCTGAGCATGTTCTTCCCTTTTATTTTTCTAACTCCAAATCTTTGCACATTTCATTATATTTAACTTTGCTTTCTTGAGCTGCCCCTTTAAATTTTCCATTCAGCTTTTACTTCATCATTTCTTCTAGTCACTTTAGCTTTTCTAGACTCAAGAATAAGTTTCAGAGTCTCTTCTGACATTCACTTTGGTCTTTCTTTTTTCCCTATCTTTTAAATGACCTTTTGCTTTCTTCCTGTATTATATTCTTGACGTCATTTCACAACTCTTCTGGTCTTCGGTCATAAGTGTCTAATGTATTAAATCTGTTCTTGAGATGGTCTCTAAATTCAGGTGGGATAGGTTCGAGGTCATATTTTGGCTCTCATAGAACGATTTTAATTTTCTTTAGCTTCAGCCTGAACTTACATGAGCAGTCTGCCCCTGACCTTGTTTTGGCTGATGACATGGAGCTTTTCCGATGTAGTCAGTTTGATTTCTGTGTAGTCCATCTGGTGAGGTCCATGTGTAGCGTCACCTTTTACGTTGTTTAAAAAAGATATTTTAATGAATAAATCATTGGTCATACAAAATTCTGTCATGCAATCTTCAGCATCATTTCTATTACCAATGTCTGATTTTCCAACAATGGATCCTTCCTCTTTGTTTCCAACCTATGCATTCCAATCACCAGTAATTATCTTGATTGAACGTTTGATTGGTGTCAGACTGAATAATCACTGTTTTTAGTGGCTGGTGCATGTATTTTAACAATAGTGGTATTAACTAGTTTTCCTTGAAGGTATATCCTCTCACCGATAGCACTGTACTTCAAGATAGATCTTGAATGCTCTTTTTGACATTGTCATTCCTTTTTAATTTGTTGCTCCTGGCATAGTAAACTATGTCTGATTCAAAATGGCTAATACCAGTCCATTTCAGCTCACTTATGCTTAAGGAGTCCTGGTGTGGCGCTGTGGGTTAATGCACTGCACTGCAAAATCATTCAAACTGTATGATCAGTGGTTCAAGCTCACCACTTGCTCTTCAGAAACACTATACAGGATCACTATGAGTCAGAACTGACTTGACGGCACT